CTCCCAAAGTGCTGGGATTATAGGCGTGAGCCGCCACCCCCAGCCCTTTCTTTAGAATATTAAGTATGTATTATACACATTTGTTTCGTATATCTAAAATCGATGTAAACTATCTGGATACTCAGTCCTGAGTTCTCTGGCCCCTGGCAGTAAGCCCCTTATGTTGCTTGGTCCTGTGATGATTCTGTATTCCTCGTTACCCTAGGTAGTTGCAGAAGAAAAGGTTGTGGCCAGGTGTGGTGGCCTGTCCTAGCACTTTGGCTGGCTGAGGTAAGAGGATTGCCTGAGCTTGGGAGATCAAGGTTTCAGTGAGCTGTGATCACGCCACTGCCATCCAGCCTGGGTGACAGAGCAAGATTGTATCTCAAAACTATAAAATAAAGAAGAAGAGATTGTAAGGGGTAAAGGATGCTAAGTGTTCCCTAGTACTACATTACTCCCCTGTTTCATGCTCCCATAAAGGCTAATCATCGTTATGTTGCTATGTAGTATGTTACAGTGAAACCCAGCCAGAGCCAGGTACTCAAGGGCATGTTCGTACCATCCTGTTCAGGCTGTCGCACTCCACAGATTGAACAGGCTGTGGGCATCGTGGGAGCTGTCATCATGCCACACAACATGTACCTGCATTCTGCCTTAGTCAAGGTGAGCAAGGCCCTTATCTCCTTCACCTCCTAGACAGTTCATGGGATCTTTTCCTTCAATTGCAAGGGACGCAAAGTTAGTTTACAGTTGTTAGGACCATGAGGAGCAAGGAACTTTCCAAGGCTGGACATTAATAAACTCCATATGCTTAGACACTGTTTTTACCACCAAATTGACCAGATATTACTAACTGCATAGAGAAGGTGGGACTAAATTTCTTTTTTTTTTTTTAAATTGAGATGGAGTCTCGCTCTGTCGCCCAAGCTGGGGTGTAGTAGCGTGATCTTGGCTCACTGCAAACCTCTGCCACCTGGGTTCAAGCAATTCTCATGCCTCAGCCTCCCGAGTACCTGAGATTATAGGTGTGTGCTACCACACCTGGCTGATTTTTCTATTTTTAGTAGAGATGTGGTTTCACCATGTTGGCCAGGCTGGTCTCAAACTCCTGAGCTCAAGTGATCCATGCGCCTTGGCCTCCCAAAGTGCTGGGATTACAGGTGTGAGCTATTGCGCCCAGCCAGGACTAAAGTTCTTCATGAAAGGTTTGAAGTGCATCAAGTCCCTTGTGTTTAAATTTCAAAAGCCTGAGTGGCCTTATGGAGGTCAGGAGTAAAGGAGCCCAAACAGGCTTTTACCAGTCAGTATTATGTAATAGTTTGCTGGGAGATTTCAGAAAGCTTTATATTAGGGAAATACACACCTTCGGACTGAAATCGGGTTGTTTTTGTAGGTCAGTGCTCCTTCTAGCCACGGTATCTGAGAGCTCAGTAGTCATTTAGTCTCTGTTTCCTATTTGAGGAATGTGTACTTCCACAAAAGGGCATGAAGTTCTTTTTTTCCCCCATATGAATTTCTTAATTGCTCAGTGAGCTAGGATGTAGGCAAATGTTGGATCGCTCACATTTCGTCTAGTCAGCTGTTTGTCCTCTAAATCTCTCAGCTGACTCAACTCCTTAAATGTCGTAAGGAAACTTGTTCTAACTGGTCAATAAAATGACTGTTGTTGTTATCTTTTTAGTCTAGACAGATAAACCGGAGCAATAAGCAGGAAATCCAAGAAGCCAATAAGTACTTTTTCATTGAATCCTGCATTGCTCTCTTTGTTTCCTTCATCATCAACGTCTTTGTTGTCTCAGTCTTTGCTGAAGCATTTTTTGGGAAAACCAACGAGCAGGTGGTGAGTAAGCCAGGGTTATGGGTGGTAGTGAATATGAGGGTAAAGTGAAGACTGCAATGGGATGGGGAAGGAAAATACCCTATTCTAGTGTTAATGTTCAGGATAAATAATCTGTAGTCTCATCTCTGCCCCCCAAAATCACTGTGCACCAGTCAGAGTCTACAGTATAGAGCTGACCAAGCCTGGACCATCTTTCTCAGATTTTGATTGGGAGTAGTCAACAAACATGAAACAGGAACTATGATGAGGACAGACTTTGTCTTGTCATTTTGAATTCTGTATCATCTTAATTTCTGATTACCTATGTAGTTTTTTGTTTTATTTTTGAGATGGAGTCTTGCACTGTTGTCCAGGCTGGAGCACAGTGGTATGATCTCGGCTCACTGCAACCTCTGCCTCCTGGGTTCAAGTGATTCTCCTGCTTCAGCCTCCTGAATAGTTGGGATTACGGGCGTCTACCACCACGCCCAGCTAATTTTTTGTATTTTTAGTAGAGGTGGGGTTTCACCATGTTGGCCAGGCTGGTCTCAAACTCCTTACCTCAAGTGATCCTCCCTCCTCAGCCTCCCAAAGTACAGGCATTACAGGCATGAGCCACCATGCCTGGCCTGCCTATGTAGTATTGATCACTGTTTGTTTCCCAGCTGTGGAACCTCTGACTCCTGTCTGCTTTGACTAAGAATTCTATGCCGGGTGTTCTCTCGTGTCTGAAGCCTTCTTCAGAGCCTCTCCTCCTGTCATCATTTAAAGTACCCCAGTGTTTGTACATTATTACCATGCACACTGTAACTCAGTAAAGATTTTTGATGACCTGTGATGACCTGTGGGTGTAGAAGGATTATAGAGGAAGATCCTAGATGACATTGCTGCCAGTCTCTGCCCACATCATGGCATATATCTATTGTTTTCCGTCCAGCCTAACTCTCATAGATCACTGTATGATATGTAGGAGAGCTCTTTTTTTTTTTTTTTTTTTTTTTTGGGCCCGTGGTTTTGGGTTTTTTGGTTTTTTCCTCCTTTTTTGTTTTTTTTTTTTTTTTTGGGATCACGCCTAGGCTGGGGTGGTATGATCTTAGTTCACTGCAACCTCCACCTCCTGGGCTCAAGCAATCCTTCCACCTCAACATCCCTAATAGCTGGGATATAAGTACACACCACCACACGGAGCTAATTTTTGTATTTTTTTTAGAGAGAGGGTTTCATCATGTTGCCCAGGCTGCTCTTGAACTCCTGGGCCCAAGCAATCTGTCTGCCTTGGTCTCCCAAAGTGCTGGGATTATAGGCGTGAGCCGCCACCCCCAGCCCTTTCTTTAGAATATTAAGTATGTATTATACACATTTGTTTCGTATATCT